TCAAATCCAGTCTCAGACACAAGACACTTACTAGCTGTGTGACCCTGGGCAAGTCACTTAACCCCACTGCCTAGCCAAAAAAAAAAGAAAGAAAGAAAGAAAGAAAATATAGGGTAAGTAGAAAGTTGTCCAGGATTTTGTGCTACACAATGTTACAAAGACATACACATTGTGAAGTACCCCAGTATATCTGCTAGGCTGAAGAGCTTTGAGGATGAGAAAAGTTAAAGCTGCAGCAGCACAGTGCAATGGAAAGAAGCCTGGATCTGGGATTAAGAGAACTGGGTTCTAGTTTTGGCTATAACACTGACTATCTATGTCACCTTTTGCAAGTCACTTATCCTTTCTGAGCCTTTCAGATTTTTTCATCTGTAAAATGTATGTAACCCTCATCCCATGATCCCAAGGACCTTTGCCATGGAAACGTAATGGTATGCGAATGTTAATTATCCATAGTTCCCCAAATTTCTGAGGCCTTTTGACATGGAACTTCTTCCTGGGAGATGCTGAGAAGCCTATCAGAAGGACAAAGAAGGAGGAGGATTGTTGGCCTCTCAAAGCAAAGAAAGAAGACAGCAAAGCATGAACAAAGTCAGGGAGAGATGCACACAGGCAAGCAGGAGCAGACTGGTCGGTAACATGACTAAATCTGGTCCACAGCTCCAGTCTTCCCCTTTGTTTCCCCAAGTCTGCCTGGAAAGAAATCCTACTCCTCCCTCTAACTGACCAATTTATTTTCTGTTTAACCTCCAACTAGGAGGAATGGGTGGGTGAGGAGTGGAGAGGGAAAATTCTCTCTCTCTCTCTCTCTCTCTCTCTCTCTCTCTCACACACACACACACACACACACACACACACACACACACACACACACAAACACAAACAGAGCATGCAGGCACACCACACAGAGCCTATACAGTTAAATGTTTACTTATATTCCTATACTATTTGAAATTGCTTTTAAGGTTATGGGCTTTTACAATGATTTGCATTCCAAATTTACAAGTATTCAGTTTGGGATTAAGAGAAGGGAAATTAACTCTAAAGGAAGAGGTGATTTTTAGTTCAGTCTGAGGTATTGGGGTGGGGGGGGGAGTGGTTAATCAGAGAGATAATTTCAGGAATTCTAATTATTCCTGAAAAATTCATACATGCTAGACTGTTTTGAACCTGGAAGAAAACAATGTGGAAACTAGCCAGTAGCAGTGAGAGCTAAAGTTGGTCTGTTTGTTCAGTTAACCACACAGCACATAACAAATACTCCACATGGTTACATAGAAATAATAATAGCTACACTACCTGCCTCACAGAGCTGTTAGGAAACTCAAATGAAATAATGTATGTCTACAAAAAGTGCTACGTTGAGTTTGAGACGACATAAATAACTCATATTACATAATCATTAAGCACTTTCCTTGTTCTACTCAGACTGCTCCTATACTAAATCCTCATCCAAATATTGCCCTCTAACCACAGATGTCCCACAGGGATCTGTGCTAAGTCCTATTCTCTTCTTCCTCTATGCTACTTGGTGATTTCATCAGCTCCTATGAATTTAATTATTATCTCTATGCTGATTGTCCTCACGTCTATGTTTCTGGCACTAACCTCTCTGCCGACTTCCAGTCTCATATCTCCAACTGTGTTTCAGACATCTTGAATTAATTATTCAGTAGGTATCTTAAACTCAACATGTCCAAAACTTAACTCATTATCTCTGCCCCTAAACCCTCCCTCCTCAACTTTCCAAACTTCCCTATTACTGTTGAAGGTACCAACATCCTCCTAAACCCCCAGACTCACAACCTAGATGCCATCCTTAATTCCACTAGCTCTCACCTCCCTACATCCAATCTTTTGCCAAGGCCTGTCGACCTCACCTTTGCATCATCTCCCAAATATGCCCCCTTGTCTCCTCTGACACTGCTACCACTTTGGCGCAGGCCTTCATCCCCTCCTGCCTGCTACTAGGTCTCCCTGCTCTAAGTCTCTTCTCACTCCACTCTGTCCTCCATTCAGCCACCAAAGTGATTCTCCTAAAGTGACCATGTCACACCCCGTTCTTATTAAACTACAATGGCTCCCTATCACCTCTGGGATAAAATAAAAATCCTATTTTTTATTGTTCAAAGCTCTTCACAATCTAGCCTCACCCGTACATACACTTTCCCAGCCTTCTCACACCTCACTCCCTACCACATACTCTTCGATCGAGTGACACTGGCCTCCTTGTTCCATGAGCAAGACAATCCATCTTTTGGCTCCAGACATTTTCTCTGGCTGTCCTCCATGTTTGGAATGTTCTCCTTCATCTCCACCTACTGGCTTCCCCTGGGTTCCTTCAAATCTTCACTGACAGGAAGTGTTTCCCAACCCCTCTTAATTCTAATGCTTTCCCTCTATTAATTGTTTCCTATTTATCCTGGATATAGCTTATCTGTACATACTTGTTCGCTCATTGTCTCACCCATTAGAATGTGAGCTCCTTGAGGGTAGGGGGCTGTCTTTTGCCTTTTTTTTCTGGTATCCCTAGGACACAGTGCTCATCACATAGTTGGTGCTTATTGACTACTGACCCTGCCATTATGATGACGACGATGAGATAGTATTATACAAGGGTCCAGGATAAGAAATACTAAACAGCATGCCTGCCTGAAGAGATGTGGTTCTTTTCATCCGGGCCTCAAATCCTATTCCCTGTCACATTCAGAGCAAGGCCTCTACAGGTAGTATGGTCAAACAGCAGCTGAATCTACTGAAATGGAGAGAAAATGAACCCATTTGAGGACTATACAGAAAAGATCCTTATTTGCCAATGAACACAAGGAATGCAGAAGTGGATCCAGCCATTGTTTCTTTTCAGAAAGAGCAATTCCTTCTTCTCACCAGCCACCTATTGCAGGAATCATGAAACTGCTTTCAGATACCTTGAGGTGCAGTCAGAATCCTGAGAGTCATACCCTGGGCTTGTACATACATTCATCAGGAGGACATGACCATGTTTGACATCTTCATGCCCTGTTTTACTGGGGATATACATGTATGTTCCTGAGACCCTTGAAAACTGGCCCTGATGGGTGTGATGGAATCTGAAGGCTCAATAATTGTGAACACAGTGAGTTGAGTGTGAAACAAAGTCTTATTCTCAACTGAGATTTGTGGAATGCAAAGAACTTCTCCCAAGGAGAGCAGGCAAGAAACTGTAAGCAATGGCATTCAGAGTGGATGCGAGCAGGAGCTCTGTTTTGGATCACAAACAGAGGTCCAGATTAGCCAAACACGGAAGTGCACCTCCTCCATGAAGACTCTCCCAATGTTGCTAGCACACTGCATTTGCCCTCCTCTGCCTCTCTATAGCAAGTTCTATCAATATAACTCCAATAGCACTTACTTGTGTATGACCTTGTGGCATCTCTTCCATTGCTGCCCTAAACTGTCATTTACATTTTTGTTAATATTTAGATTTCCAAGTGTTTCTGCACTGTGTTCCTAATTAGACTAAAGGGAGGGACCTTATTTGTCTTGTTTCTCTAAATTATCCACATTCCCCAGCACTAAGTCCTGCACATAGTGAAATAGTTACTACACTAGATTTGGTGTCAGTGAATATGTTAAACAATCACTGATAACAGCAAAGGTAAAGTTCTCTACTCTAAGGAATTCTGGAGGAATTCTGAATTGATGCTGCAAGGTACAAAGGAGGCAACTCCTATGTAGAGGGGGGTGGCCCTGAAACTTGAAGGCAAGGGTGTCACTGACTAAATGGTTTGGGTCATTTCCCTTAGCTTTTATTTCCTCCATCTCTCTCCCTTTTTTTTGGACTAGGCAATAGGGTTAAGTGACTTACCTAGGGTCACACAGCTACTAAGTATCAAGTGTCTGAAGCCAAATTTGAACTCAGGTGCTCCTGACTCCAGGGCCAGTGCTCTACACACTGCACCACCTAGTTGCTTCCCTTTCCATCTCTTTTTCAACCTCTGCCACTATCCTCACTATTTCCCACTTCAACCGCATTCCCACCTTCACTGTTGGGAGAAGCCACGCTAGCTTGTAGAAAATAACTAGGTTACTGGTAAGCCACAAGATTGACTCAGAGCCAGTACCAGATAAAGTCCTCAAACTCAAGCAGCTCCTACCAAAGGTTAGGCAGGCAGGCTCCCAGCAAGAAAGAGTATCTCCCTTTCAGACAGAACCAAACTAGTAGTAAAAAAAAATTAAAAAAAAACCCAAACCAAACAAAAACCAACCTAGCATTCCTAAGTCCCAGAAATACAATGCTAATAGCTGAGGAGGAATAAGGAGAAATCTAGACATTTCTTTGTTGGGGAGATAAAGCAAAGAGTCTAGGGGGTGTCTGATACCAAGAAATAGAACATCCAAGAAAGAAATACTTTGTTGCTATTGTTCAGTTTTTTCAGTCATGTTTGACTCTTCGTGACCCCATTAGGGGTTTTCTTGGCAAAGATACTGGAGTATACTCTCTAAATCCCACTAGACTTTAGGCTTGAAATCACCCTTCCTCTTCTCAGATGCACAGCCAGTGTTTGGCATCCTAAGATAAATGTCTGTGCCAGATGATAATTTTCCATAAATACCTATAGCAAGCAATAATACTAGTTCTATCCATTAAAAAGGCCTTAGTCCCCCTTCCTCTTCCAGGATAGAACCCTTAAGGCAAGTGTTTTCAATAGGGATTAATGACCATAGTCAGTGACTCCAGCCACCCATACCCCCAGTCAAGTCATTAATCCACAGGAAATGTCTAGGCTAAGATAATTGGCTATTTAAATGGCCCAATTAGTTATCAAGAAGACCTTGAAATGCAAAACAAAACCTGACAAGGGAAACTTCATGTGATGAATGTAGAGCATAACCATCCAAAGTGGCCTGCAATAGTGCAAGAGGATTGTATGGAGCTGAAGTTGTAAGTTTTCCCCATAGGTAAGAGGCTACCAACCATATGCTATTCCCCAATACTGTTTTCCCCCACCATGACTCACCTGCCCAACATTGAATGTCAGTGTGATGGCATAATAGAAATTGGAGTTAGCACTTCCTGCATAAATCCAAAGATGCCATAAAACTGGAAAAAGCAGGGAGCAGACAATCATCACGCAGGAGAGGAAGAAGATGTTCCGAAGGACTGCAAAAATGGACAACACTAAGATTTAGAGTCAAGCAACATATCTTTTGCTTGTTCTTTTTTTGTTCTTATGTAATATTTTATTTTTCCCAATTACATGTAAAAACAATTTTAACATTCTTTTTTTCCCCAAATTTCTAATTCCAGATCCTCTCCCTCCCTCCCCACTGAGAAGATAAGCAATTTGACAGTTTACATTAAGTGTAGTCATGCTAAACACATTTCCACATAAGTCATGTTCTATGAAAGAAAACAGACAAAAAAAACCCAAGAAAAATTAAAAAAGGAAAGAAAAAGTAACTTTGATCTGCATTCAGGCTCTTTCTCTGGAGATGGATAGTATCTTTCATCATAAGACATACAGATCATTGTATTGCTGAGAATAACTAAGTTATCCATAGTAGATCATCACATAATATTGCTATTACTGTGTACAATATTCTCCTGGTTCTGCTCATCTCACTTTGCATCAGTTCATGTAAGTCTTTCCATGTTTTTCTGAGAGCATCCTGCTCATCATTTCTTAAAGCACAAATAGTATTCCATCACAATCATATACAACAACTTGTTCAGCTGTTCCCTAATTGATGGGCATCCCTTCAGTTTCCAATTCTTAGCCATCACAAAAAGAGCTGCTATAAATATTTTTGTACCCATAAGTCCTTTTCCTTTTTGTTTTTTATCTCTTTGGGATACAGACCTAGTAATGATACTGCTAGGTCAAATGCTATGCATGGTTTTATTGCCCTTTGGGCATAGCTCCAAATTGCTCCCCAGAATTTGCCTGTTCTTTGGAGGAAGGGTGGAGAAAACAGAGGGTTAATGTGTGCTACCTCATATATCACAAACAACAAACCTCTCACACAGACACCATTGTTTGTCAACAGCTTTCCAAGCTGGTGTCTTGCTCTGTTCCAGGCAGGCAGGTTTACTGAAGCCCAGGTATGAGTCCAGTCACTAAAGCAAAAGCTGGCTGAGGAAGCACTTATTATGAACAGCATATACTTAATAGAAATCTACTCTCCAGAGTAAGGAAGATCAGACCACATCTAGATAATTTTATCAGTTCTAGGTCTAAATCTTAGGAAGGACATTCATAAGCTAGAGCGTGTCTAAGATCACAAACAGGACTAATGTTAAATGAGGATTGAGTGATTTAATTTAGAATATTTAGCAAGATCTAGAACTGCTCAAAATTAGAATAGGTCACATTGTGCACGAGTGAGTTCTCTGCCATTAGAAAGGGTTTAAACAGAGGCTGGATGACATAAGACAGCTGTTCTAAAAAGGATAATTTCATCATTTAATAATCCAACTTCAGACAGAAGTTTGGACTCAGAGGTCCTTTCCTATTGTCCTATGATTTGATATCAAAATGAATAATTCCTGAGACCCTAAACATACCAAAACATGATGTTCAGTAAGGACCCCCCCCACTCCCCACCACAGTAATGCAGGAATAATTTTTCTTTCAATAGTTTTGGTAGCTAAAAGTCATGGTCTCCTTCCACTAAAAAAATACTAATTCCCTGATAAGTCCCCTTAGGGCAGGGATTGTGTTTTGCCTCTTTGTATCCTAAGTGCTTAATAAATTTTTATTGAATAATTCTATGACCCAGGCCCACCCTACCCTGAAAAATTCCTTATTCTTTCTTAGCTGGTAATTGAACCCTCTCTTTGGGACAGCCAGATATATAAATAGCACCCAAACGAATCCTAAGAAAGAATGAAGCACCCTCAGGGGTAAAACACAATCCCTGGCTAACTTGGGCAGGAGCTTCCAGTATCAAGTGGTATGAGTTGAGGGGAGTCTTTCTCTCAGCCACAGGATTCCCAAATCTCAGCTGAGTGACCTCCTGCTAGTACCTCTCATGGACAAGCAACAAATGACTTTGCTGTTCTTCCCTAGTCCTCTTTCTTGGACTGCCTACACAAGGCATCAAGTATGAATTATTGACAAGCGGCTTACAGCCTGCCCTTCTTCAGTGTCTGAAATAACTCATCTTCACAGCCCCAGGTGCCCAGAGCTATCTCTAAGACTCTAGAAATGTTTTGTTCCCTTTATATATTCCTGGTGCCAAAAAGAAGTCACTTCTCTTGCCAAGTTAAGCACACATTGGTAACTAGAAGGGTTGGCATCTTGCTAAGAGCCCTGGGATTGCTTGTTGGATCTGGGTGGCAGTGACCCACAAGTTTGGAGACTGTTGCCAATATGATTCTTTATCAGAGCTTTCTGGGGGGAAAAAGATATTTTTATAGGGTTACATTCTCATTCATTGCAAGTTGGGGAGATGGGATATGTTTTATAAATGGGATACAATGCCCTCACAGAATCTCTTTGAGCCCTGGTAAAACTTTAAGAAAGGACTTAAAGGAAGGCCCCATTAAAGACACAGGGAATTAAGGAGTCCAAAGTGCAATAAGCTGGGTTCAGGAAGGCCATATGGACACCAGCCACTCCAGACTTCAGGGGCCATCAACCCATGAGTAACTTACCAATCAAATACAAAAAAAAAAAAAGCAATCCCAACACTCTCAGCAAGGTGTCAACCTTTCTGGCCACCAGTGTTTGCTTACCTTTCTTTGCAAAGGTAGAGGTGAGAGGGAAGGGAGGAGGTAAAGATGAAGGAAGAAAGGAGGAGGGAGGAAGGAAGAAAAGAAGGAAGAAAGTCAGAAAGAGAGAAGAAAAAGAAACAGAAAGAAAAAGAGAGAGAGAGAGAAAAAGAAAAGCAAGTCACTGAAGCATTTTTTTAAAAATGCATAGAAATGAACAGAAGGAAGTTCAGAAGAAAACACATTAACAGGACAGTTTTGAAAGTAACAGAGGATTTATTATACACTTAAAAGGAAGAATTTTTCTACACAAATTTGTATTATACAAATCTCTAACAGAGATTTGCAGTTTTGGGCACAATCTTCATTATATGCTCTATATGCTCAAATGTTCGTTTTATTTAGTGTTAAGTTAGAATAATTTTTTTTAAATGAAGGGGTTAAACTATATGATATCTAAGGTCCTTTATACAACTAAATCCATATTAATGAAGATAAATGTTCACTGAATTGGATAGATTGGGGGTCAAATCATAGAAGGCCTTAAATGCCAGACCAAGACATTTGGACTTTATTCTATGGGCCACAAGGAGACAGGTGATGAGGGCTCAAGTCCTGGCTCAACATTTACTAGTTTTACAATCAGGGACAAGTCATTTAAATCTTTGGTTCAGTTTTTCCATCTGGGATAATAATACCAATAGAGCCTACTTCCCAGGGTGATTGTTAGGGAAAGTGCTTTGTAACCTATAAAGCACTACAAAAGCCTCAGCTGTTATTACTATTGTGTATTTGTTGATTAACTAATTGGAAGATATTTTTGCCTTTAAAAAAAAACAACTTTCCCCCTGGATCTGGATAATCAAGAAGCACCAAAGGACCAAGAGCTCCAGGCCAACAGCTAAACGTGAAGTGTACAGGACACAGCACATTCCAACCACTAGATGGCACCAATGAAAACTAAAAGGGTGAAAATTCGACAAAGTCTTCTGGGCAGAAACAAGGTGGGCAAAATGCAGTAAGCCTTCAGGGACTCAAGGTGCAGAAAAGGGATACATTTTCCGACATGGTCAAATAGGAATTTATTTTGCTTGACCGTGTATACTTGTTACAAAGGTTTAGGTTTTTCCTTTTTTTTTTTCAATGGGACGTAGAGTTAGAAGGGAGAGGGGGGTAAAAAGATAGGGGTTGCCCCCCCCCAAAAAAAAAGAAAGAAAAGGAAAGAAAGAAAGGGGAGGGAGAAAGGAAGGATGGATCACTGAAAAATTTAGAAAAAGGACATCAGGTAGGCCTAAAGGAAACACAGGGAAGCTGGATAGCTTTGAAAATTACATGTTGAATTTATTATATACTTAAAAGGAAAAGCAAGCTGTATGCAAGATTCACAGCTTTATGCACAACCCTCTTTTTCTGTTTTACTTTATTTATGGAAAAGCTCATTTTATTTAGTGTTTTTTATGGTCAAGAATAAAAAGACATTTAAAAAATATCCTCTCCACCTCTATACATCTGTCCTGAAAAACCCAGCTACCCTGATCATTGCCAACAATCAAATCTTTCAGCCAAATTAGTGCAGCAAGCCTGCCCCTCATTGGTCTTTTATGCTTTAATCATCTACCTGCATTTACACAGGGTCATTACTTGGGAGAAATTTCTCAAGCCCTGTTTGACTTTCCTTTTTAAAGAATTTTTAAAGTCTCATGAATTAAAATGCTATCCACATCCAAAGAAAGAACTATGGAGTTTGAATGCAGATTGAAGCATACTATTTGCTTTTTTTCCCCCTTCTAAAGTTTTGTTTCTTCTTTTTTGTGGTTCCTCCTATTTGTTCTAATTCTTTCTTACAACATGACTAATGTGAAAATGTTTAAAAGGAATGTATATGTATAGCCTATATAAGATTGCGTGCTGTCTCGAGGAGGGAGGTTGGAAGGGAGGGGAAGAAGAATTTAAAACTCAAAAGCTTATGGAAGTGATTGTTGATAACTCAGCAAGTGATTTGATAACTCAAAATAAATTAATTTTAAAAAATACTTCAAAAAAAAGCATAGCAGCAAAAACAAACCTGGAATTTCAAAGCTAAAAAAAAAAAGAATTTTAAGAGTTGTCATGAAGAGTTAAACTGAACCTGACCAATGGATGGAAGTTACAAAGAGACCAATTTGAGCTGAACATAAAGAATTGCCTAATAATCAGAGCTGATGCCCTTCACTGGAGGTGTTTAAGTAGCAGCAGGATAGACATTTGTAGGGGATGCTATAGAAGGAATTCATACTTCAGGTGGGAGTTGGTCTAGGTGATCTCTTAAGACCATTCCAATTCTTAGGAGGAAAAAGTAAATATTAAAGATCGTTTTTTAAAAAGGGGAGATATCTAGAAAATAAAATTAAGGGGTGAGAGAGGATTAAACTGGGAGAAAGAGAAATAGAGAGGTAGAATGGGGTAAATTATTTCACATGAAACAAACAAGAAAAGGCTTTTACAATGGAGCAGAAATGGGGGAAGGTGAGAGAGAATGAGTGAATCTCATTCTCATAGGATTTGGTTTAAGGAGGGAATAACATACACTATTGGGTATGGAAATCTATTTTACCCTACAGGAAAATAAGGGGGGAAAGGGACAGGAGAGCAGGGGGATGATAAAGGGGAGGGCAGACTGGAGGAGGGGATAATCAGAAGCAAACACTCCTGAGGAGGGACAGGGTCAAAAGAGAGAATAGAATAAATGGGGGACGGAACAGGATGAAGGGAAATATACTTAATTTTTCACAACATGACTACTATGGAAATGTTTTGCATGACTACACATGTATAACCTGTATTGAGTTGCTTGCCTTTTCAATGAGTGTGGGTGGGGAGGGAGGAAGGGAGAAAATTTGTAACCCAAAGTTTCAAAAACACATGTTAAAAAACATTTTTTTAAATTGTTTTCACATGCAAAAAAAAATTACAAGTGCAGAGAAAAAAAAAGATTGTTTTTTAAAACAAAATTTAAAACTACTCCTCAGTTTCAGGTATATGTCACTGGCTTAAAGACTTCTAGCAACTTCTAGCCATAAAACTACAGGGCCAAAATCTAATGTCTCAAAAAACACAAATAAGCCATTGGCTGAATGGGTCATGTGGTGATGTTACAAACATAACATTCCAAGCAAGTGTCTTCACAGCCCCTGGTGCTGAGAAGCTCATAATCACTGTCAGTCCCAACTAAAACAAAACAAAACAAAAACAAAATGTAGCTCAGAAAGCCAGTGAGACAGTTCGTTAGCATCATATGGGCTCCCATAAACCTCACCAGCAACTCTCATGTGACTCATCACCCTACAAAGCAGAATCTGGTTTTTAATCAGTTTTCAGATCTTAAAACATGTTTATTCCAACATCTCTTCAATCCCTGCCCTTGGGAATGCCATGTGGTACAATAGTACTCTGAACTATAAAGGAAGATATACATATATACCCACGAATTTGTACAATGGGGCACTATACATGCAGCTTATGTATAGAAGGGGCAGTGTGATAATATAGAAAGAGCACTGAAGAACTACCCTGGAGTCCCAATTCAACCACTAACTTGTGTAACTTTGGAAAACTCACTTTCCTCTAAGCCTCAGAGGTCTCATCTGTAAAATGGGGGAAAATATACACATACACTACCTGTTTCACAGAAGTGTTATGAGATAAATGTGAAATATTTTTGTTGTTATTGTTATTATGAGGATGACTATTACTACTAATAAGATGAATTGAGGAATGAGGAAGCAAAAGAATGAACATCAAAGGTGTGGACCAAAGAAGCAAAGAAAATGATTATTATGTCCTTTTTGTTTTAAACATGAAAATCAACATGTTTATCCAACTTTGGGAGGCAAATAGGAAAAGGAGGATGAAAGGGACCAAATCCCCTCATCCACATCACAAATTGCGTTCTGCAGGATCAAGTGGAGCCTCTGGTCTTTGCAGTCATCCCCTCACTCTCCAAAAGACCTGGCTACTAAAGGGCCACAGGTCCGTCCCAAACCTTCTCGATGACTCTTGCAGATAACCATGAGGAAACTGCAGGGAGGGGATGAGGAGCTGCCTGGGCAGCAAAAACTCCTGCCATAAATCCAGCTGGGTAACTCAGAATTCAATTCCCTGCAGGAGCACACGCTGCACCCACTCACACTATTGACTTACTGTTCTTCCTGCTGTTTGGGTGGAAGAATCACATTAGTCAGTTTCGTGTTTGGAGCTCCTCAGTTTCACTTCCTGCTTGGCACACAAAGCTCCAGCAGGTTGGTGAATGAAACAACAACAGACACACATCCTCAAAAGAGTTGCCTTCATTCACTACAATGAGCTTCACACAGAGGTTGCAAAAATCTGCTGCCTCATTTCACTTTTAAAACAAATCACAGCATCACAATGGGTTAAAAGTTAGAAAGGCCTCAGTAGAACAACTAGCTCAAATGCTTTATTTTCTAGATGGAGGAAACTTGGTGTACGAGAGGTAAAGGGACTTACTCAGGACACACAGCAAGTTAGTGGAAGAACTGGGTCTAGAACCAAGGTCCATTCACTAATCCAATCCTGAACTGCTAGAGTATCCTCTCATTGAGGTCATTCTTCCTCATTCTTTCTAGCCAATGAAAACAACATATTTCTGGTAGATGAGTACTTTGGGCATAATGGCATTTCCTCATGGTTAGGGGGTACTATTTATGGCTATAGTCCCCTATTTAATTTAATTTTTCTTATCTTGTCTCCAGAAATGGCATTTTAGCTCCTTTAGGCAGTATAGAAAGGGGGGGGAGGGGGACTGCCCTGTGGCAAGAGTTCTGTAATTGGAGTCAGGTTACCTGAGTCTGAACTCTGGCTCCGACACTTACTATCTATGTGACAATAGTCCCTTAGTTTCCACAGCTGTAAAATAGGGCTAATACTTACATCATTGACCTCACAAGATTATCGTGAGAAAAGTCTTCTGTAAACCTTAACATGCTCTCAGGAGCTGTCATTATACATTCCTGTTGACAGCAGGAAATGCTGTGAGCTCCTTGAGAGCAGGGATTGTCTCGTGCTTCTTTTTTGTATCCCCAGTGCTCAGCACAGAGCTTGGTACATAACAGGCACGTAATACATGTTTACTGATTGACTGAAAAACATCTTTATAGTTCCTTGTAGGCACACGGAGGCATATACAGACTGTAAAATATAACATAAATGTCATCAGTGACGACAACAAATACTCACCCTGCTCATGACCACCATCAGTGCTCAGAGTACCCAGCATGGTATGTGGCACAACGCAAGTACTGACAGATTTTCTGGTTTCTTTATGGCTGTTCACCCATGGGGTGGTTTCTAGCTTGAACCCAGTAACCACTACCCTCCTCCTTTCATCAAAGAATAGAGTGAACACAAATCTTCCACTAGGGAATTTAAGAAAGATAAATCCAAGAGACTGTTAAGGAAAAAGGAAGGTGCTTACATCTGTAGAGATGGCTCCACACTGGAAGAAAAGCCAAGTACAGGGCGACATCTCCCACTGTGGGGTAGGACTTGAAAATCGAGATAACAGCAATCTGGATGAACATGAAGAACATGGGATGGTCCCTGAGATAGAGGGAATAAACCGAGAAGATAAATTAGGATCTAACATGAGTAAGACCCCAAGTAACCAATCCTGAGGACCCTCACAAACTTTTCACCATGGATTTCTGACAGCAGAATGTCCAGTGCACAAGCACACAGTACCAGGTGAACCAAAAAGCCTTCATACAAAGCAAACGCCATGAAGGAGGTATCCCAAGGTTAGCTGTACCCAGGAAGAATTACTACTATAATTCTTTTAAACAACCATAGAAACCTGAACAGTCATCACAACAATGATTCTAAACTTACCTTCTCACCTAGGAGGCAGACAGGAAACTAAATGAAGTCAACATTTTTTATTGCTGGCCATAAATGTTCAAAAAAGATATCCAGGAAAATTCCTCAGCTGCTGAGCCCATGGTTTCAGAGCTTATAAAAGCCAACTCCTTTCCTTACAGCAGTAAAGAGGGTAAGGAGGAACACTCATTTGCAGAAGAGCAGAGTGAAAAGAGCCCTGGTCTTGCAGTCAGTAGTCCTGGCTCCTCTCCCCATTCAATCGTGAGCTCCTGGAGAGCAGGCACTCTCAACTTTCTTTGTATGGACAGGGCCTAGCCCATAACAGGCACTTAATAAATGCTAGTGAACTGACATTTACTACCTGTGTGACTTTGGCAGATTACATAGCTCATCTGAACCTCATTTGGTTCCCAAAACTTTATCATAGGGCAACTATGGGAAAAGTATGCTATAAATATTATGTTATAGAAATGTGACTTGTCATTAGTACATGCAAGTGAGCTATTCTCAGCGAGGGCTGTAAGCCATATGAAACTGTAAAGTTCCTTAAAGGGCAATAACCACATTTCGTCGCTTCAGTGCTAAAACCATGAGATGATGCAAAAAGATCAATCTGTGGGGCTGCCCAAAGTAGTGAGTGAAGGCAATGAGAAGGAACCTCTTTCTCAGGCTCCTTTCCCTGTTCTACCCTGGGAAAAATCACTGTCCTTGGCTGATTTCCCTTTCTCAGTTAAGGACAGCACTACCAGCAACCTGTTTCATAAGGGTGTTCCGTAGGACACAATGAATCCTTGTCAGCAAAGTGATGAAAAAGTAGGTCAAACTGGGAGTTCATTTAGTGGGTTTAAATCTTACATCTGGGGACAAAAGAAGCATAATACATATTAGCTTTTCTCTGAAACTCAACTGATGCAACAGTAGAATTACTCTATAAATTAGCACAGATCCACAACCTGTGAGAAATACCGTATGGGAGCCAGTAAACATTTTCAGAAATGAAAAACCAACAAAACATATATACTATAGATCGTTACTTAAGGCAACTGACACCCTCAACAGCTGAAGCATTTCTAAAGAAAGGCCTGTGAAAATGTGGTGACAAGTTAACAATTCTATAGTCTCAGAAATGTTTCTGAAAACCTCTGAACCAGCTTACTACCAAGACCTCTACTGCCAGATGTGAACTGCTACCAAACAGGCCACAAATTAATTTAGGAGTAAGATGCTGGAGGGAACAGGAGAAAATGTGAGGGAAAAATCTGGTATGACACCTGGAGCCTTCAAATGGACCGTTCTTTCAGGCAGACAAGAAATCCTGGATGGATTTCTCAGAATAGGGGAGTAAAGATGCTGGGAGAAATCAGATGATTCTAAGTGACCTCTGGGGCCCCAACGACAAGGAAATGTCACATGATAACTGTGTCACCACCTCACCAAGAGCTATTTTTACAGGCATTCACACACAGAAGACAGGAAAGCACATGGACTATCCTAACAAAAAGAGGAGAGAAAGGCCAACATACCTGCCCCCCCACCCAATTCTCTGAAAGGTCCCCTCAGTCCCGCTGCTGCTCACAAAGCCAGGCAGATCTGACTTCAGTAAGGGCTGAGGAGGTAGAAAGTGGACTGGATCCATTTCTTTCCTTAATTTGCTATGTGATAAATGGGGAATTATTAGGGACCTAGTTCAAAGTCACAGTAATATAAAACACTACGCAAACTGTTTCCCTAAATGGAAACCCACCCACTATGCTCAGCCAAATGGAAACTGAAGTCTGAATAAGGAGCCAGGTCTTCAGAGGAGTCTTAATTCCTGCTGGATGTATTGGGTGATCTAAGAGAAACTTAACTGTGTCTGTCTTCCTGTCCAGGAAGCAAGATTCATATGAATCTTCATAGGAAATTGCCATAATGTATTTTTAGCATTTTTAAAGGGCTAGGTCCCTAGGAGATCCCTGAGGTAATACAATCTAACAGACAGACGAGACAAAGGAAGCTTTCTCCTCCTCAGGTACACATGGAAGCTTGGGAATTTTCACATAAGGCAAAATGTGACCTAAACCAGAGGAAAGATTATTTTGGCCTCTATAACATACCTTTCCATTGTCACAGTCTGTGTCTCTTACATAGTAACATGGCAACAGGGAATTTCACAAGCACAAATACTTTGGCAGGGAATGTCAGGCCCAGAAAGGCTACAGATGGCAAGCTTTTCCACAAATGCCCCCTCGTTTCCTGCGGATTATGGATGGCACCAAAATTCATTCTTATTACAGTCACCTGACACTGGAAGTGCCAGCCTGAGTTAGGGCAATGGCACAGCCATGATGGCGAACATCACAAAGAAACTATTTAGGTTATTTGGGTAGGTCCCTATAGAGAGAGCTGTTGGAAAATGTCTATGTTTCACAAAGTCATTTCCTTCATCCATCTGGCTTGTTCTAGCTATGGATTCTCTGTCACTGTGTTACATATATGGTGTTTTGCACAAGCTAAAAAGAAAGGTAGGATGGTAGAAAGAGTCTGAACTGAGAATCAGGTGATCTGGGAGTTTCGAAATCTGGCTCTGACACTTATTGATTATACGATACAAGACATACACTTGTATGTATGGCAGATCACTTAACTCCTCTGAGAAACGTCACTTTTCTATCAGTTTCCTTATCTGAAAATGAGGATAATTACCTACTTCACAGTATTGATGAAGGAAAATCTCTCTATGAAACTTAAAGCTCTACAGAAATGGGAGTTGTTATCTTTGTTATTAAAGGAGGTGTTTGATAAATAAATTGTAAGACTGGGCAGATTTTTTTCTAATGCTGTTAGGATAGATGGTTCCCCAGGCCAAGTTTATAAAAACCTAACTATTGAGCCACAACTCAATCTGCTACTATCAAACTTGCAGTGTCAGAGCAGCAGAGAATCCCCCAAAACATATGTGGATAAAAAGGCAATTATTCAAAACCACTTACTTCAACTTCACTGCTAAGGGAATGGTGTAGAAGAAGACATTGATCTGAAACACACAGACAAAGAAGAGGCTGAAGTGTTCAAACATTTCTGCAAAGAAGTACCAGAAGAGACCGATGTTTGGAGTGAGATCAGGAACAGAAACTCTGTAATTATTAAAAGAGAAAGAAAAATTAAACGTTGTAGATGTGTGTGTGTATGTGTGTGTGGTCAGCTGTACCTTGTTTTCCCATAGAATTTGAGCATCATTTAAGAACTAAAATCAATGCAATGACCAACCACCATTTCAAAGGGCTAATATTAAAACATGCTTCCCATCTCCTAACAGAGAGCAAGGTGACAGACATAGGGTGACCTTTTTCTGAACATGAGCAATGAAGGCATTTGTTTTGCTTGATTATCCATATTTGTTACAAGGGTTTTGTTTTTCTTTTTCTTTTTTTCTGGAGGAGGGAAGAGTAGGAAGAAGAGAAAGTAAATGATGGTTAATTGGAAAAAAAAAGTAAAATAAAAGTTACCAAAAATGCTAGGAAAAAAAGAATTTGGTCAGAGAAGGCAGTATTAGAAGGTCTAAACTTTAAAAATACAAGGTAGAGAGGGAAGCTTACAAGAGTGCAATAATATTAACTCAAAGGATAGAATATAACATTTGGAATCAGGAAGAACTGGGATAAAATCCTAGCTCTGACTTTCACTAGCTATGTGACCTTCAGCAAATCACTTAGTCTCTACGAGCCTCATCTGTAAAAGGGGAAATAATAATACTTGCCTTCCCTTCCAAAAAGGTTGTTATGAGACTCAAATGAAATAATATTTATATAAGTGTTTGAAAAATGTAAAGCACAATATAGATATTTATTGTTATTATTTTTACCATCATCATCATTATTATTATCATTAAGATTCTGATGGTATATGTTTTTGCTGGGAGAAGCAGGATGGTACAGTGGAAGGAAAACTGGACTTATAGATAAGAAAGACCCATGTTTGAATATTGTCCCTGGTGCTTACTTTTTGTATGTCACTTAATGTCCCTAATCATCAGCTTTTTCATCAGTAAAGACAGCAATACCTGTAAGACATACCTCCTAGGGCTGTTGCAAGGCTTAAATGAGATAATAGTTTAAACAAATTTCTAAAATCTTAAGGTGCTAATAAAAGTCAGTTACTTACTTTTTTCTTTAAAAAAATTATTTGTTCTTACTACCTGTGTGACCTTGACTTTTAAAGTATACAAACACTAAGTACAGAATTGTCTTTCTACTAGAAAAGGAAATGAAAATCCTGGAGAAACTATCTATATTTTAAATGAAGAAGAACAAAGTTTTTCTTTAAAGGATAGAAGTACTTCAAAGAGAAATTAAGGAAGGAAAAGAGTCTAAGCAGGCAAAGGGCATAGCCTAGACTCTGTCAGGAAGCTGGTAGGTATAATTCAATTCAATTCAAGGCACTGTACTACGCAGGAACTGGGGATTCAAAGACAAAATGGAAAAGTCCCTGCCCTCAAAAAAGTCCCATTCTACTGGGGAATACAACATATGAAGAAGGAAGCATTGTACATGAAAATTTAAGAGGGAGAGAGCACTACCAACTGAGCTCATCAAGGAAGGCTCCGTGAAGATTTAACTGGGGCCAAGTCTCAAAATGAAGTCAAGAATTCTGAGAGGGATGAGACAGGAAAAACCACACTCTTAAGAATGAGAGGCAGTTTTTGCAAAGACACAGCAACGGGAGATGCCATGGTAAGTTCAGGAAATGGCTAATAATCCAATTTGGGTGGAACAAAGAGTGAAAAAAGAATATGAATTAAGGCTGGAAAGCTGAAAGAAGGGAGAGGGGGCACCAGATTGTGGAGGGCTTGAAATGTCAATTTTAAAAAGTTTTATTTTATCCTTAGGCAATGAAGAGTCATTGAAGATTTCTGAATAGAGGAACAACATGGTCAGACCGTTATGTCAGGAAGTCTATTCTTGTTGTTGTGTGAAGAATCGTTGGAAAAGAGTGGACTTAGGGAGACTAATTATGAGGCTATCACAATAGTCCAGGTGAAAAAGGATAAAGCCTAAACTGGTGCCAATATGAGTAGAGAGGAGGAACAGATGCAAGAGATGCTTTGGAGTTAGAACTGATGAGCCATGGCATCTAAATGGCTAAGGAGGTAAAGCAGAGAGGAGAGATGAAGATGATTTTGAAGTTACAAAATGACTGGGAAGATGTGAGGCCCTTGACAGAAAAAGAGACATATGAAAGAGGGATAGGCCTAAAAAGGTTAAGATGGTGATTTTAATTTTAGGAACACTGAGTTTGAGAAACCTAAAGAACATAAAGATAAGGATGTACAACAGGTAGTTGATGATGCAGAACTAGAGTTCAAGAGAATAACTAGAACCAGAAATACCAATTTAGGAGTCATCTGAAGTTAACACTTAAACCCATGGGAAACAGAGAGAGAACATAAACAGGCCCAGGGCAGAGCCTTGGAGGATAACCCTACAAAGGAAACAAAAGATGATGAACTACTGAAAGACAGGTGGGAACAGAGCCAAGAGAGATTAGTGTCCCAAAAGCCAAGGGACAGGACAACATACAGGAAGAAAGAATGGTCCATCAACAGCAGTATCAAAAGCATCAGAGATGTGAAAGAGAATGAGGATTGAGAAAAGATCACCAGTTTTGGAATTTAAGAGATAAACTCGGAGAGCAGTTTCAGATTGACTGATAGGGCTGGAAGCCAGACTGCAAGATGGTGAAAAGCCAGTTGATGGCAAGTTAAGGTAGCAAAAGTAAATAATTCTTTCTTTTGTTTTGTTTTTGTTTTTAGGCAGTTGGGGTTAAGTGACTTGCCCAGGGTCACACAGCTAGTAAGTGTCTAGTGTTTGGTCTGAGGCCGGATTTAAACTCAGGTCCTCCTGACTTCAGGGCTGGTGCTCTATTGACTGCACCACCTAGCTGCCCCCAAGAATTCTTTCTTTGAGCATGGATTTAAAGCTTAATGGGAAAGTAAAAGACATTTAGTACTATTTCCTCATTTTAAAGTCCCAGAAAGGTTAAGCAATTTGCTCAAGACTACACAATAGCCTGTCACAAAGTAGCAGAGCTAGGATTTAAATCCAGGTCCTCTTTAAAAATTCAATGTTCTTTCCATAATGCTCTATCAGCATGGTCCAGTTTGGCAGTAAAATGAAGGAAATATATTAAGATAATAGCTTGAGGAGGAAGAAAGGTGAAGTCAAAGTTTCTTAAGGATGGGGGACACCTACCTTATAAAGCAGCAGGGGGAAAAGCCAATATATGGAGAGATTGAAAATAAGAATGAAGGAATAGACAATATGATAAATTCCTGAAGGGGGGTCAGGAGGAGATGGGATAAAGGATTCAGACAGAGGTCTCAGACTCGGCAAGGAGAAGGAACATCTCTTTCTCAAAGACAGAAAGAAAGGAGAGGAGGATGAGTGAAGACATCGAGGACTTATGAGGCATAGAGTAAAGTAACTGAAGGAGCTTATGTAGATATCTGGCCTCTAATTTCTCAGTAAATCAGGGGATGAAAGTATCTCCTGGCATGGAGGAAGAGGCTGGAGAGACCCTGGGGATCTGAAGAGGGAAGAAAAGATTTCAAACAACTTGTAAAGGCAGTATACAGTCAACTATAGAAGAAAAAAGGTTTGCCTGGCAGTAATGGAAGCCCAGTTGAAATTAGGTGACATGAATCTGTAGTGATCTGGTCATGATAATGTTGTGACTTCCTCCAGCGACATTCAGCAGCTTAAGAGTATAAGTGGAGAAAGTAGATGAGGCAGAGGGCAGGGGTGGTGGAGGTAGAATGACTCAGGGCTGAAGACTGGAAGAACATGCATGGCAGTAGGACAAGGGACTCAAGAGTGGGTGACAAAGTATACTGAAGTCGGTTAACTACAGGGTCAAGATTATTAAGGGGGCAAAGTGGGTAGAGGAGGTGTGATAGAATGTGAGAAAAAGTATAAGGGAATAGAGATTTTGATAAGGGGAAAGAGCTGCTTTAGGATGAGTTAGGCAGAGGGAAAGATGGGAGGATAGGAGATTATGATCGTAAAGGAGTTTCAGAGTTCAGAATTCTAGAGGTATCAGTTATAGGGGTTTGGGGCACCTAAGATATGATCATCCCTATAAGCAGCTGAGGTAGGGAGAAACCTATAGGTCATGGGAGTTGAGAAGACCAATGCACTGGGAGGCTAGGGTATTTGAGAGAACATCAACTTATACACTTAAGTCTGCAGGTATGAAGTGGGGGGCTGAAAAGAAAATCTGTGAGCCTGTGCTGAACTCCTTAAGAAAAGAGAGAAAGTGATTTAGAGACTGAAAAATCACTAAGTATTTAGACTACAAAGAGAGTAATTGTGTAACAGTGACAAAGAGAATATCTGGAAGTGGCAACAGGGTATAAGGAATACGTCAAATGTTCCTCTCAGCCCAGTGGGTCATGAAACATTAAAGAAGGGTTAAATTGCCCTAGGAGGTGGCTAGAGATAAATATAAATTAAAATTTGCTAAAAATTGATAGGGACCTATAGAGCAATTTGGAACTATGCCCAAAGGGCTATAAAATGAGGCATACCCTTTGACCTAGCAATACCACTACTGGTTTTATATCCCAAAAGAGACAAAAAACAAAAAGGAAAAGGACCTATATGTACAAAAATATTTATAGCAGCTTTTTTCTGGGGATAAAGAATTAGAAATTGAGGGGAAGGCTATCAACTGAAGAGTGGCTGAACAAATTACAGTATGTGATTAAGATGGAATACTATTGTACTACAAGAAATGAGGAGCAGGATGCTCTCAGAAAAACTTGGAAAGACTTGCACGGACGATGCAAAGTGAAATGTGTTGTATACAAAGTAACAGCAATATTCCAAGATGATCAGCTGTGAATGACTTAGCTATTCTCAACAATATAATGATCCAAGACAACTCTGAAGGATTTATGATGAAAAATGCTCTCCATTCCCAGAGAAAGAACTGATGGTATCTGAATATAGATTGAAGCATACTTTTTTTAACTTTATTTCTCTTGAGTTTTATTTTGTCTATGTTTTCTTTCACAAATGACTACCATGGAAATGTTTTGCATGACTACACATGTATAACCTATATCATATTGCCTGCA